ATAATTTGTCAAACTTTGAAGATTCCTTGTAAGGAAACGAGATTGGGAATCATGTTAAAGGCCACGAGTCTGCTATGCCTTAGTCAGTCGAAGAGGGTTTTAGGTGTTAATTTGATTTTTATTAAAGTCATATTTCGTTCAACGACTAATATCCACGTTTCACAGTATTATGATTGATGTAATGTCATTTTTATATGCCAATCCCAGGTTCGACAGTGGTGCTTTCTTGAGACAAGTTGCCGCTTCTCGTCCCGTTGTCGTCAACAACGAGAACGGCCTTTTCCAGGCCGCTGCCAATATGTACTGTGGCCAGATGCACCCCAATGCCTCCCTTGTCACAGTCAACAGCCTGGCAGAAAACAACTTCTTGTACGAGTGGGCTGTCAGAATGATGGTTGAGCCTGAGCCAGTTTGGATTGGTCTTCACGCTGGCCCAATGGGACAATGGCAGTGGTATAGCGGAGAACCAGTCACCTACACCAACTGGGAAAGGATGACGGCCCCCATGGCTGAGCCAGGTCTTGGAGCCATGATCTTTGATGCTGACATAATCGCTCAGATGTTCAACAACCAGGTGGAGATCACCCCGCAGTGGGTTCCGGAACAGGCCATAAACGACCGACATGCCCTCATCTGCGAGTACCATCCCTCCGGTATGACTGCAGCTGCAGCTACGAATGCCCCAACCTTTCCTCCAATGGCCACAGCTCCCCCTATGGCAGCTACCACCCGCGGCCCAGTGATGTTTCAGAACAACCCTAGGAACCTTGTGGATACTCTCACTGGAGGACGTTTTGGAGGGTCACTCCTTCACGAGATACCACGAAGACAACGAATGAGGCCTTCCAATTACAGAAAGAATCCTTACTTCGGCATCCAGCCTTGAGTTTGGGTTTAATCGAGCTCTCCATTCTAAAACCCCAATCACACCACCTACCCCGATACCCGACGAACAACAGACCGAACAGAAAAGTACATTTCCTCAAATGTTGTTGATAATCGTAAATAATCTGTCGGTTTGGAGTCGGTCGGGAGTCGATTTGATGGTATGACAGGGGTGAAACACTTCCCATACAACCCACTTAAACATGATGAATGAAATCCGAAAGATTCATCATCAAATATCCACTGGACAGTCACAAAGGTACTCTTCTTCTGCACCCCTGAACAGTTTCCGCGGCAGAGGGCGTCGTATCAAAGTCATTCTTCTGTTGATGTTTCTCCGGTAGGCAAACAAAACATTCCGATCAGCCTTCAAACAACTTGTCTGTTTTAAATGTGCATTGATAAAAGAATGCATGTGATCCATTTTAAAAGAACTTGTTTGTGTTCCAATTCCGCTCCGTTTCATTCATTTCGTGTTTAAAATCTGTTTAGAGAGTTAGCATCTTATAGTTTCATTTGCCCCAAAATGTGTGTGACATAAAAGTAACTACATATAGAATCGATAATATTTTATTATTTGTTCTTGTACAGTTTATTTCAAAGAGAATCTTTGTAAAATATTCCGTGAGTTTTGTCATGTTCATGAGAAACGATGTTAGTCATTTACATTTCGGGGATTCACTTGTACACATTGATTCTTTGTACATTACGTTCATGAATAAATGAGATTTTTATTTTACATCTTGAATGTACTGTAGCGTTTTATTCTCCTTGAGGGCGTATCCTTAAAATCACTATTCATAATTAGTACCCTGAATTATGTGGTCGAATGACAAAATTATGTTACAGTTCAACTATCAAAGAAGGGTTTATCTACAAAATTTTGCAATAGGCAGCATGCACTTTTTGGTATTCTCCTTTTGTGTTACACAACGGCCTAGCTAATTTGCCAAATAATTTGTAAAAGTGCTCGAAAAAGACCCCACGCGCACGTATGAACGTTAGCATTTTGCACTGACGTCTGGGTCCCAGCAATATTGTCTACTGAATTTATTAAGGGGTCACCCCTCCACCAGCAACTTCCAAGTACACTCTAAAAAAATGTTGGGCAAAATATTGCTCTCGACACCTCTACGTCACCTTTAATATAAGGAATAACTCCTAATTGTTCCATAATATTGTTGCCCGACTTACGTTTGCCTAGAAACATTTGCCAAACATATCTTGAACATTCAATTGGCAGGTTAAATACAATGTACAAGTAGTAAATGGTTGGGAGAAAAAAAACCAAATGTTCGACAAAAATGGCCCAACTTTAATTTGCCCAATAAAATTACCCAATCATACCATCGGTTACTACATGGTTGGTTTAAAATAACCAAATTATGGGACAAAATTTGCCCAGTAACATCTGCCCAACTTTTTTTACAGTGTAATAACGTATTACTTGTATGCATGCAACGAGAACACTACCATAGGGAAAATTTGACTGGTGGTTGCGAGCCAGTCAAACAACTAACAGATTAGTGCGCAACGTGTCAATAAAAGTTTTCCTCGCATCTTGGACTTTGAATTCTTGAATTCATCGATAGAAAATGTCGACATAGTCGTATCATAATTTTAATTGTAATGATGACGATGATTATGGTGATGATGTTGATGGCGATAATGATGATGATGATGATGATGATGATGATGATGATGATTATGATGGTGATGATGATGATGATGATGATGATAATGATGATGATGATAATGATAATAACGATATTGATGAAAATACTAGTAATACTTAAAATATTTATAACGATTTCAACGACAATAATAACGACCAAAAAAAAAGAAAATGCACTACAGGAGATGAATATATTGAGGAACATAATAATATTTATAATAACGATGTAGGGACTATGATCATTATGGAAGTGATTAATCATGTATATATCATTTCGCGCAAGGTAACAAGGGATGACTTCCGAAGTTTTTGTAAAAGTCACGATAGAGAACGAAAAGTATCAAACCAGCAATTTCAACTTACACATTACAACACTCAAAAAAGCTATAAAATTGATATTTTAAAACAAAGAAATGAAATTAACAATGTCAGTATCTGCAAAGTCAATGTCAAATATAACTCTGAATGTAAACTAACTGTCATGTAATCTTTAGAAGATACTTATTATTCATTTATTTAAAGTGGATAAAGTTAACAAGAATGCTTATTATAATCTAGGAAGTCGATATTTTCTTAAGTAGTGCAGCGCAAATAGTTTGTGAGAGTTTCGGTGGAAGAATGTGGTAAAGAGTGTGTTATTCTTAAACTAAACATTGCACACAAAGATTGGTTATGTCATCACCAGCGCTATTCTAACACTAGACGGTTTCTGATAGGTGATAGCCAGTGCGCCAGTAATCAAACGATGTTTGCACAGGGTATTTGGTAATAAGGCAAAATTTAAAAAAATAAAACGTGGTTTATTTCTAATTCGATACCAGTGATTTACAAATGTTGCTGAAATGACATGATTTTCCGTTTTTTCTCTAATTTTTGCCCATTATGCCAGAGGCGGCACTACCGGTGGGGTGGGTGGCACTGTGCCACCCACTTTTCCAGGTACCCACAAACAACCCATTTCTACATAGAACAAGTGCCCCTTTTTTTATAATAACTGTCCTTTTCCTCTCTTTTCATCTCTGGTGAGTAGGCCTTTTCAGGTGCGAGAAATTCTTTTTTTCACCTCTGATATTTTTGCCCTTTTTTTTACTTTGACTCGTGCCCCTTTTACTTTTTAATAAGAACCCCCTTCACTTTCTCTGAAATGCCACTTTTCACCTCTGATAAGTGCCCCTTTTCCTTTTTTATATGTGCCCCTCCCCCTTTTCAAAAAACCCCTTTTAACATCTGATAAATGCCCCTATCAAATTCTGATAGGTGCCCTTCTCCTCCAATAGATTCCACACTTCCATTCTCACAAGTGTCTCATTTCATTACTGTTGAGTGTCCCTTTTCAGGAGCAAGAAGTTCCATCACCTCTTAAAGATCTGATAATTGCCCTTTTTACTTTGACACGAACACCTTTTCTTTTCTGAAAACTGTCTTTTCTCTTTTGATAAGTGCCTACTTTTCCTTTCTCCATAACATGCACTCCCTAATCCAAGGCGACTTAGAGCTCCTTTTTCTTTCATTTTTCCTAGAGCTTGCTCGCTACGCTCGCTCGCATTTATAGATGTTAAAATTATGTTACTAATATGAAAAGAACTTCTCAGTCTTTCTTCATTAGATTGGGCTTAATACTCATCAGGTGATTTGGTTTTCTTAATAAGATATAATTTTGGGCAATGGGACCTCACAAATCTTAATGTTTTTGCTCGCACGCTTCGCTCGTTCGAACATTAATATTCAGACCATCACCGTTACACCTAACTGCAAAGTATGTTGCTTAAGTAAGCAGTATCTTATACCCCTTAAAGAAAGAAACAAATATTGATATCATCCCTGGCTGTGTAATCACAATCATGACGATGTAGGGGTATATACCAATGTGTTAAAATGGTGTAGGTTTTCTTCATGTTTCCCTTTGTAAGTGCCCCCTTTTTCGAGAAAGTGCCCTTTTTGGTTGGTGCCCCCTACCTACTTTGGAAGACGCTCCGCCGCCCCTGCATTATGCTACTTGGTGGTGATAAGGATTTTGTTTTGACCCCTCAAAAGTTGTTGGTCATTACGCCACTGTCTGTACGGGGTTAGTGTCCTGCTGCGATGTGGTTAACTCTTAGTATCATGAGGTATGTAGCAAGCAATCGTGTACAGCAATGGCTTAGCTAGATTGAGATAGGGGACAAATACCCCTCCCTAATTGAATGACGAAATATAAAAAGGAAGAAGATAAAGGCTGTTATTATTTTGTCAATCATTCGAATTGCTAAATAAAGATTCAAGATCTGTGACAAATAAATGAGGATTAGTCATCCATTGTTACCTAACCTCACTGTCTCCTGCACCAGCGCCTCTCTCTCATTCACACTTCAATATCGTCATCATCCATCGCCCCTCCTACTTTTTGTTTGACCACGGACATTACAGTGGTGACCGGAAGCTAACGTAATAAGTGTGCGTTGTCAACTATGCATAGCGCTTCGAGATGGGGGATACTGATTGACAAAAGTCTGTCCGATCCAAAATGTATCGTATAAATAGGACTGTCACACCTGGCCAAATAGGATAATACCATCGTCATCGACTCGAGTTGGTCAGCTCAGAATCCACCTTTAGGTCTCTCCTCCAAGCTTCAGTTAAACCACTCCACGGAATCTTCCTACATCCAGAAGTCTCGCACGTTGTCCAGGAAGATGCGGGGTTTCGTCTATGTGTTGGTGTGCGTATTGGCTTTGGCCTCTTTCTCCCGAGCCCAGTTGCCCGGTGCTGGCGGTCCCGTTTTACCGGGTGGAGGACCAACCATAGGACCAGTGAATCCAGACCCGACCAGGACAGAAGCATGCGCCAAGTTCTGGGTACAAGAAGGAAACAGCTGCTACCTGTAAGTTTCACAAATTAATTCCATTCCATTACTTGCATATCAGTCCATTCCATTCCATTTTACCTGTGCCAATGTCTCCACTTGTTTTAATCTTTACTTGCTTTTTAGCTTTAGAACATGTTTATGTTACAGCTGTACATGAACAAAATAATCTTGTTGTCATAATTGTAAGCGTATTACATGTACATAATGCTCCCAATTAATGATAATTTCGTTGTTAAATGGGTTTCATCTTTTGTAGTATGTTGTATTTTTCCATTCGTTCATTCGTCCCAAACATTCAAAGTTTCAATTTAATTTAGGATTATTTATTTTAAGGAAATGAAAGAAGATCATTAACAAATATATTCTATTACACTATTGGATAGAATTCGAAACGCCTGCGAGCCGGAGTTAATTGTTTCGATAAGTTATAAAACACTATCATTTTTCTATCAGAAATTGCTTACGATTGTATTTTTATTACATTTTACAGCTTATATAATATAGCACGATTCCTACACTGTAAACAAATTTGTTTTTTATCACGAAATATGGCCTATGCTTGTTCAAAAGCTGTTCGAAAAAAATATATAATTGAGGCTACTTTTAGTCCTTTCTGTGACTCTAGATGGGCGTCCAATGTAGCTTTTTACAGGCCTCCGAAACCCGATTCCAATCATTTTTAATTAGTTTTGTTTCGCTGCTACGCAGCACCAATATACACAATATTCCTCATCATATTGAGACATCCTGCAAAATCGCGACAGCGAAATGATCTCAGTTCGCTGTCCTTGCTTTGTGTGATTTTCCTCCTGTGATATGGAATGACGTGCTAAATCTCATACCGAAAGAGCAGCGAAACGTGATTTAATATATACCTGTCTCAATTAAAATAACATGACCAGCATTAATAGCGGCTGTTCAAAACCAGAAATATCATACTTTAATTTTCTTTGATGATTATGTTGATCTTTTAGCCCGTTTGAAGAGTTTTTTTAGTTTCATGATCTTTGGGTATCGCTGTGATGATATTTTCTCCAATATATCTTTTGGACCCCCATCGTAGACAGTTTATTTTTTACAGCAACGATTTGAAAGATGTAAGCTTAAAGAGATGTAAGCATCTCATGAATAATGCCTATTTTCTAATACAGAATATTTCTTTTACCTGCCTTAGACCGACTCTATAGCAGAACGGTTAACGTTGTTTGTCGTTCGGTCTGTTGGCAGTCTGAAATCGATATTTTAAGCGCGATGATGTTATACAATCAATTATCAATTCATTATTTATTTCGTCAGAGTATTCAATCCTGTATGTTAGGCAGTGAAGTTCAAAAAGTGAGAGACCTATGTCAGTGGAAAGACCCCCAAATTTAAGTAATGATCCAAGCCTCGAAAGCTTGCGTACCAGTAGCCCTGTGGGCAATAAAGTTCTTGAATAGCCAAGGAGAAGATTCTTAGAGGCATAGAACATGAAAAGAGGATAATTTGTCGAACTTTGAAGATTCCTTTTTAGGAAACGAGATTGGGAATCCTGTTAAAGGCCACGAGTCTGCTATGCCTTAGTCAGTCGAAGAGGGTTTTAGGTGTTAATTTGATTTTTATTAAAATCATATTTCGTTCAACGACTAATATCCACGTTTCACAGTTTTATGATTGATGTAATGTCATTTTTATATGCCTATCCCAGGTTCGACAGTGGTGCTTTCTTGAGACAAGTTGCCGCTTCTCGTCCCGTTGTCGTCAACAACGAGAACGGCCTTTTCCAGGCCGCTGCCAATATGTACTGTGGCCAGATGCACCCCAATGCCTCCCTTGTCACAGTCAACAGCCTGGCAGAAAACAACTTCTTGTACGAGTGGGCTGTCAGAATGATGGTTGAGCCTGAGCCAGTTTGGATTGGTCTTCACGCTGGCCCAATGGGACAATGGCAGTGGTATAGCGGAGAACCAGTCACCTACACCAACTGGGAAAGGATGACGGCCCCCATGGCTGAGCCAGGTCTTGGAGCCATGATCTTTGATGCTGATATCATCGCTCAGATGTTCAACAACCAGGTGGAGATCACCCCGCAGTGGGTTCCGGAACAGGCCATAAACGACCGACATGCCCTCATCTGCGAGTACCATCCCTCCGGTATGACTGCAGCTGCAGCTACGAATGCCCCAACCTTTCCTCCAATGGCCACAGCTCCCCCTATGGCAGCTACCACCCGCGGCCCAGTCATGTTTCAGAACAACCCTAGGAACCTTGTGAATAGTCTCACTGGAGGACGTTTTGGAGGGTCACTCCTTCACGAGATACCACGAAGACAACGAATGAGGCCTTCCAATTACAGAAAGAATCCTTACTTCGGCATCCAGCCTTGAGTTTGGGTTTAATCGAGCTCTCCATTCTAAAACCCCAATCACACCACCTACCCCGATACCCGACGAACAACAGACCGAACAGAAAAGTACATTACCTCAAATGTTGTTGATAATCGTAAATAATCTGTCGGTTTGGAGTCGGTCGGGAGTCGGTTTGATGGTATGACAGGGGTGAAACACTTCCCATACAACCCACTTAGACATGATGAATGAAATCCGAAAGATTCATCATCAAATATCCACTGGACAGTCACAAAGGTACTCTTCTTCAGCACCCCTGAACAGTTTCCGCGGCAGAGGGCGTCATATCAAAGTCATTCTTCTGTTGATGTTTCTCCGATAGGCCAACAAAACATTCCGATCAGCCTTCAAACAACTTGTCTGTTTTAAATGTGCATTGATAAAAAGAATGCATGTGTTTCATTTTAAAAGAACTTGTTTGTGTTCCAATTCCGCTCCGTTTCATTCATTTCGTGTTTAAAATCTGTTTAGAGAGTTAGCGTCTTATAGTTTCATTTGCCCCAAAATGTGTGTGACATAAAAGTAACTACATATAGAATCGATAATATTTTATTATTTGTTCTTGTACAGTTTATTTCAAAGAGAATCTTTGTAAAATATTCCGTGAGTTTTGTCATGTTCATGAGAAACGATGTTAGTCAATTACATTTCGGGATTCACTTGTACACATTGATTCTTTGTACATTACGTTCATGAATAAATGAGATTTTTATTTTACATTTTGAATATACTGCAGTGTTTTCTTTTTTCTTTCAGGCACATGCGTATAATCACTAGTCGAGTTCATAATTAGTGCCCTGAGTTATGTGGACAAATGACAAAATTACGTTACAGTTCAACTATCAAAGAAGGGTGTATCTACAAAGATTTGCAATAGGCAGCATGCACTTTTTGGTATTCTCCTTTTGTGTTACACAACGGCCTAGCTAATTTGCCAAATAATTTGTAGAAGTGCTCGAAAAAGACCCCACGCGCACGTATGAACGTTAGCATTTTGCACTGACGTCTGGATCCCAGCAATATCGTCTACTGAATTTATTAAGGGGTCACCCCACCCCCAGCAACTTCCAAGTACACTCTAAAAAAATGTTGGGCAAAATATTGCTCTCGACACCTTTACGTCACCTTTAATATAAGGAATAACTCCTAATTGTTCCATAATATTGCTGCCCGACTTATGTTTGCCTCGTTAGATCTGCCCAACATATCTTGAACATTCAATTGGGTAAATACAATGTACATGTAGTAAAACAAAATTACAGTGTAATAACGTATTACTTGTATGCATGCAACGAGAACACTACTAAAGGGGAAATGGGACTGGTGGCTGCAAGCCAGCCAAACAGCTAACAGATTAGTGCGCAACGTGTCAATAAAAGTTTTCCTGAAATCTTGGACTTTAAATCCTTGAATTCATCGATAGAAAATGTCGACATAGTCGTATCATAATTTTAATTGTAATGATGACGAGGATTATGGTGATGATGTTGATGGCGATAATGATGACGATGATGATGATGATGAGGATGATTATGATGGTGATGATGATGATGATAATGATGTTTATGATGATGATGATGGTGATAATGATAATAACGATATTGATGAAAATGCTAGTAATACTTAAAATATTTATAACAATTTCAACGACAATAATAACGACCAAAAAAAGAAAATTCACTTACAGGAGATGAATATATTGAGGAACATAATAATATTTATAATAACGATGTAGGGACTATGATCATTATTGAAGTGATTAATCATGTATATATCATGTCGCGCAAGGTAACAAGGGATGACTTCCGAAGTTTTTGTAAAAGTCACGATAGAGAACGAAAAGTATCAAACCAGCAATTTCAACTTACACACATTACAACACTCAAAAGAGCTATAAAATTGATATTTTAAAACAAAGAAATGAAACTAACAATGTCAGTATCTGCAAAGTCAATGTCAAATATAACTCTAAATGTAAACTAACTGTCATGTAATCTTTAGAAGAAACTTATTATTCATTTATTTAAAGTGGATAAACAAGAATATAGTATTAATGACTGCTTTGAGAGAAATAGTTGTTTTTATACGCTCAAGGGAAGGTTAGAATTGTGCTATTACCCGAGGCGTGCCGAGGGGAATAGCCCAATTGTAACCTTCCCGAGAGCGTATAAAAACAACTATTTCTCGAATATTAAAGCAGTCATTAATACTTTTATATGCCGAAAAAAAATAGACTAAAAAATAAAAAATAAAAAATACTTTTTTTTTTTGTCGAAGGTGAGAGTCGAACTCTTGCGTACAATGAGTGATGAATCTTACACCAACGCCTTACACCACTCGTCCATCGCGCGCTGTTCACGTGCTAGGCAGTTTTGTACAATATATACATTAAAATGGATTGAAACCGGCTTCGGCGTGATGAATGCTTCGCAAAAGCTCCATTAAACGGACCCTTCTTTTACTTTTGCAATGCATATTGGCACGAACTTAGATCAAGATCTATCGGCAGATGTTGTTTTTTTGTTTTTGGAAGTTTATTTTCGTCTTCATGTCAACAATGCAAGATAAAATTGTCGGTAAGATCGATCGAGATTCAATTGTATTGAAATTACCGACCAATCCTTCGCACACATACGGTATCCTCGATCGCTCAAACCATTTTTTTAACATGTAAACCTATGGGGTAACCATGGAGGCTGACCTATTTTTTTAATAACCATGGTTATTAAAAATATTAAATGTTTTATGCATGGTTACCGGGAATTTTACAGGAACAGTTGAAGTTTATGAATGCAATTTCGACCAATCAGATGGCTGGATTACTTAAGTGAGGTATATAATGCTTATTATAATCTAGGAAGTGGATATTTCTTGAGTAGTGTAGCGCAAATAGTTTGTGAGAGTTTCGATGGAAGAATGTGGTAAAGAGTGTGTTATTCTTAAACTACACATTGCACACAAAGATTGGTTATGTCATCACCAGCGCTATTCTAACACTAGACGGTTTCTGATAGGTGATAGCCAGTGCGCCAGTAATCAAACGATGTTTGCACAGGGTATTTGGTAATAAGGCAAAAATAAAAAAAATAATACGTGGTTTATTTCTAATTCGATACCAGTGATTTACAAATGTTGCTGAAATGACATGATTTTCCGTTTTTTCTCTAATTTTTGCCCATTATGCCAGAGGCGGCACTACCGGTGGGGTGGGTGGCACTGTGCCACCCACTTTTCCAGGTACCCACAAACAACCCATTTCTACATAGAACAATTGCCCCTTTTCTTTTATAATAACTGTCCTTTTCCTCTCTTTTCATCTCTGGTGAGTATGCGTTTTTTTAGGTGCGAGAAATTCCTTTTTTCACCTCTGATATTTTTGCCCTTTTTTGTTTTTACTTTGACTCGTGCCCCTTTTACTTTTTAATAAGTATACTTTTTCCTACTTAATAACAACCCCCTTCACTTCCTCTGAAATGCCACTTTTCTCCTCTGATAAGTGCCCCTTGTCATTTTTTATATGTGCCCCTCCCCCTTTTCAAAAAACCCCTTTTAACATCTGATAAATGCCCCTATCAAATTCTGATAGGTGCCCTTCTCCTCCAACAGATTCCACACTTCCATTCTCACAAGTGCCTCATTTCATTACTGTTGAGTGTCCCTTTTCAGGAGCAAGAAGTTCCATCACCTCTTAAGGATCTGATAATTGCCCTTTTTACTTTGACACGAACACCTTTTCTTTTCTGAAAAAGTGCCTACTTTTCCTTTCTCCATAACATGCACTCCCTAATCCAAGGCGACTTAGAGCTCCTTTTTTTTTCATTTTTCCTAGAGCTTGCTCGCTACCCTCGCTCGCGTTTATAGATGTTGAAATTATGTTACTAATATAAAAAGAACTTCTCAGTCTTTCTTCATTAGATTGGGCTTAATACTCATCAGGGGATTTGGTTTTCTTAATAAGATATAATTTTTGGCAATGGGACCTCACAAATCTTAATGTTTTTGCTCGCACGCTTCGCTCGTTCGAACATTAATATTCAGACCATCACTGTTACACCTAACTGCAAAGTATGTTGCTTAAGAATTTCCGTTTCGGTTTAATAAAATTTGGAGTGGACTATTAGGCTATTATTATTATTATTATTATTATTAAGTAAGCAGTATCTTGTACCCCTTAAAGAAAGAAACAAATATTGATATCATCCCTGGCTGTGTAATCACAATCATGACGATGTAGGGGTATATACCAATGTCTTAAAATGGTGTAGGTTTTCTTCATGTTTCCCTTTGTAAGTGCCCCCTTTTTCGAGAAAGTGCCCTTTTTGGTTGGTGCCCCCTACCTACTTTGGAAGACGCTCCGCCGCCCCTGCATTAGGCTACTTGGTGGTGATAAGGATTTTGTTTTGACGCCTCAAAAGTTGTTGGTCATTACGCCACTGTCTGTACGGGGTTAGTGTCCTGCTGCGATGTGGTTAACTCTTAGTATCATGAGGTATATATCAAGCAATCGTGTACAGCAATGGCTTAGCTAGATTGAGATAGGGGACAAATACTCCTCCCTAATTGAATGACGAAATATAAAAAGGAAAAAGATAAAGGCTGTTATTATTTTGTCAATCATTCGAATTGCTAAATAAAGATTCAAGATCTGTGACAAATAAATGAGGATTAGTCATCCATTGTTACCTAACCTCACTGTCTCCTGCACCAGCGCCTCTCTCTCATTCACACTTCAATATCGTCATCATCCATCGCCCCTCCTACTTTAACCACGGACATTACAGTGGTGACCGGAAGCTAACGTAATAAGTGTGCGTTGTCAACTCTGCATAGCGCTTCGAGATGGGGGGATACTGATTGACAAAAGTCTGTCCGATCCAAAATGTATCGTATAAATAGGACTGTCACACCTGGCCAAATAGGATAATACCATCGTCATCGACTCGAGTTGGTCAGCTCAGAATCCACCTTTAGGTCTCTCCTCCAAGCTTCAGTTAAACCACTCCACGGAATCTTCCTACATCCAGAAGTCTCGCACGTTGTCCAGGAAGATGCGGGGTTTCGTCTATGTGTTGGTGTGCGTATTGGCTTTGGCCTCTTTCTCCCGAGCCCAGTTGCCCGGTGCTGGCGGTCCCGTTTTACCGGGTGGAGGACCAACCATAGGACCAGTGAATCCAGACCCGACCAGGACAGAAGCATGTGCCAAGTTCTGGGTACAAGAAGGAAACAGCTGCTACCTGTAAGTTTCACAAATTAATTCCATTCCATCACTTGCATATCAGTCCATTCCATTCCATTTTACCTATGCCAATGTCTCCACTTGTTTTAATCTTTACTTGTTTTTTAGCTTTAGAACATGTTCATGTTACAGCTGTACATGAACAAAATAATCTTGTTGTCATAATTGTAAGCGTATTACATGTACATAATGCTCTCAATTAGTGATAATTTCGTTGTTAAATGGGTTTCATCTTTTGTAGTATGTTGTATTTTTCCATTTGTTCATTCGTCCCAAACATTCAAAGTTTCAATTTAATTTAGGATTATTTATTTTAAGGAAATGAAAGAAGATCATTAAGAAATATATTCTATTACACTATTGGATAGAATTCGAAACGCCTGCGAGCTGGAGTTAATTGTTTCGATAAGTTTAAAACACTATCATTTTTCTATCAAAAATTGCAAACGATTGTATTTTTTATTACATTTTACAGCTTATATAATATAGC